AGAATTTCTAGCGATGTAGAGGTAACATAGAAACCCGGCATATCTATAGCAGCAATGAGATTCTCGGCCAAATTCAGAGATCTATAAGATGACAAAACAGTTTAATTTATAGATCTGAAGTAGGCATAGCTGGAAACTAACCTTAAGGAAGGCATTTGGAATAAAATAGAGGGGAATGTAGTGAGTTGATTACATGAAAGATCTACCCGTGTGATAGCAGCAAGGGACAACCTCAAGGTAAAAGTTTTAAAAAATTAGTATCGGTTAAATAAACCACTGAATTCAGGGATAGACAACTGGTGGAATATGCGGTTGAATAAGATATTTACCTCGTTGTGCGCAACCTGGGATTAACCTGTAACGCAGCGGCTACAAACCAGTCAGATTGCACAGCTTCTAATGAAGCTGAACCCCAGTTGAGAGATGCAGCGCGTGACGGGCACAGCGATGAGGGAAGCAGATTCTGGCCAACTTGGATCTGAAAGATGGGCAGTGTTAGAAATTTCACTAATAAAAAAATAAATAAAAAAGCAAACATGCACGATAAAGGGGCTTGAATACAAGAAAAACAGGCGTTTGAGTAAAAGTAGGACAATGTACCTGTCCAACGTCAACGTTCTTTTTGTTGACTTTGTACTCTGGATCAGGAAATACAAGGCGCGTTAGGAACACCCGTACCAGCTTCAAATTGTTATTCTGGAAGGCATTTGATTCCAAACAGAATTTTTGAAATTGCAATAGCTACGTATGAATTACGGATTCCACATAGGAATCATATCACCGTGAAATTATATAGCATCTATTTTATACCTTAGCGGCAAGGCGCAATGCTCGATTGTCGGTATCGAGGGCACCTCTGTCATACAGGTAATGCACTATATGAACAGCATCAGATCGGGTCGCTTCCACCAGTGCACCGGACCCTCAAAGCTTTCAATTACGTAAAAAGTTTTCTATAAAAATTTAAAAGATAGCCTGCTTAAAAATACTAATGAAACTCTACGCCAAGAGATATGTTTGTGCCGTTAGAACTCAAAAATTCTAAATCGAATATTTTGGCAGCAATATTCGAAAGAATATGCCTTCTTCTACAAGATAACGCACTTGGATTGATCAAGACTCGGGTCTTTCCTACCAACAGTTAAACTTTTTTGCAATGTAGAAGCTCGAGAAATGCTATAACGATACCTGGTAGGGTAATTGAGTACCAATTAAAAATCATATCCATCCCCAGTAGGACCTCTTTTTAAGGTATTCAAATGTACACGGAACTAAAAAGTGGGGTAGGTTTATTTGTCATGCTGATTACAAAAACGATATCCACAATGCATGATAAGCCCTCCTTCTAAAACTAGGGTGGATATACGTAAGGTCAAAAACACTAATCTACTAGAAAAAGCAAAATTGGATAATATCATGTCTACCGTATGAAATACCTATAGAAAATGGAAACTTTTGTAAGAGCATTTCAACCTAACATAATACCTTTCAAGCAAATCTATGTACTCGATCTCGCATCGAATAAATACCATAATCTTAAGACTAGGTCGTACCGTGAGATATGAATTTTGTAATTGGCATAGCCAATGG